GTGTGGATCCACATGTTTTGACCAAATATTGGCCCCATGTTCTCTTCTGATCCTCCTCCAGACCCCATCACAGGCATGGTTAACCTGTCCAGTCTTCCATAGTCCTTCTTCCCCCAGCACAGTGCAGCAAAGGTAAACAGCAGAGCTTCTGAAAACTCAGCCAAGCATTTATCAAGCAACCTCATTCACAAGTGACAGAGATCGAACTGAGGGGAGAGTAGGACCAGTCATCTCCTGTCATCAGGATGGATGGCCAACCCAGTAGAAAAGACAACCCACCTGATGAGAATATATTGATCACAGAGAGCTGTGGGACATAAAAGAGAATCGCCTCACACTCCCTCACTCACAGGGTCCTAGGAAATTCATCAAGGCTTGGAGGAGAGAAGATGCCTTCCCAGAGGATGGTCATCACCTTGGTGCTGCTGCTGGGGGCTTGCTGCATCAGCACTTATCCTGTCTACCCTGAAAGCAACAGTGTCCAAGGTAAGCACAACTGACTTGGGTGTTCATGCCTGAAAGCTGGGTGGGGTTTGTCACTGTGAACCACTTTTTGGCTGGCACTGAATGCTGGCTCAAACCATGTGGCTCGTATCTGGTATTTCATGGGGGTTTGGCTGCTGCAGACACGCACAGCGGCTCAGCTTCCTGGTATTTCTCTTTGGGCAGGAAGACCTTCCAGCCTGGGAAGGGTTTTCCCCAGTATTCTTAGGGGTAGTGTACATTCAGTAGGGTTAAGCGCATTCCCAGCATGACCAGGTTGGACAAGAGACCATCCTGTACCTGAGGGACTGCTTTGGCTGTTGTGACCTGCAGACCGCAGAGTTTGGGTGATGTGTCCAGGTACGCTGGGACGACAGATAATGTTGCCCTGGGAACCAGCCAGCCTGAGACATACAAACCAACCATCCCTCTAAACTCAATATTCTTCTGACACCCTAAATGGAGATGAGGGAGTTGCAGCTCACATGCGGAGCAAGCGGTGCAGGCTGGGTGCCTGGGATGGTCTGGGATGGGGCGAACACTGCTCATGGTCACAGGGCTGGTGCAAGCCTCCCCAACAGCCATGAGACCTGGCGCTGTGACACCAGCCAACTGCACCATGTGCCAGGGGCTTTGCTTCAGTGTGGTGCCCTGCTGTGTGTCACTGCATGCAGGCCAGTGCCCCAGGGGACCGTGGGCGGCAGAGCCAGCATCTGCCAGGTTTGGGGCTGATGACACTCAGTCACATCCACCCTGTGGTCATGGTCCATATATGCTAGTACTGACCAGTGGGATGAGCACCAGTTTAGACACTCTGGGCTTCCTGATGCTCAAGAAAAAGCCACTTGGCCTTGACTCTTGAGCTCTGAAGGAGAGCATGACCCCAGCTCCGTGATCTGTTTGTGCAGCCCCTGCAAGCAGCCCCAGGCACGCTGCCTGCTGCTTCTGGGAAACGAGCATGCACAGGGTTCCTCTCCTCTTGACTGACTCATGGGGACTTCCAGAGCTTTAGTAGCTTGACTGCATCTATGAGGCAAAGGAAATACAAGGCCAAGTGCTTGGAATTTCTCAGCTCCCAGCACTTGGTGTGAGCTTCCTGGGGGCTGTGCACAGGCAAAGACTGGAGGAGGGACAGGTTGAATGGTGAGATGCTGGAAAGCCCCTGACACACCAGCTGGTTTCCAGTTAAACACAGTCAGACCACAAGTGGCTTGTTGCCTTAGACATAGCCATGTGCCTAACGTTTGTTTTTGTGGTGTCCTTAAACTATCCCTTTCCTCAGAGCAACACAGACAGGCCATGGGACAGACTTACCCGGGCAAGATTTCTGCTTGCGCTTACCTGAGATGACAAACACTAGTCCCCCTCAAACAACTTGCCTGTCACTCTCGGGATCTGTAGACCATGCTTGGGGTCTCCATCCCACTGCCCAAGGAACAAGTACACCCCAAATGAGCCACTTTGTCCTTGTCACTTCTCATTCAAACCAGACCTTATGCCAATGGATTTTAACCTGGCTGATGGTGCAGTTGACTGGGGGATTGGGAGGGGACTGGGACATACTGGGACGTATTTAGGCTGAACTGGGCGATACTGGGATAAACTGGGGAGGACTGGGAGGGTTCTGGGTAGAACTGGGAGTTGTTGGGGAGGGGGGGGAAACACTGTACCGTATTGGTCCTTACTGGTCCATACTGGCACACAGTAGTGTGTACCGGCTTTGTAACGGTTCGAACCGGTCTGGACTTAATCCTTTGCAGCTCACAGCAGTGCATCAGCCTGACTAAGTGTTGCTGAGCTGCCCTCAGAAGGGTCTTTTGTGGTGACTAATGGGGACTTCCTCCACCTGCCTGTTGCAGTCATGCTGAAGCCAACACCAGGCAGTGGATGTTTGCCTCAGCTTTTGGCACTGTGTCCCATAGCATCCTCATAGACAAGATGACAAAGTCCAGGTTAGATAAGTGGACAGGGGTGTGGGTTGAAAACTGGCTGAACGGAGGGCTGTGATCTGTGGCGCAAAGTCCAGTTGGAGGCCAGTCACTAGTGGTGCATCCTGAGGGTCAGTACTGGGGACATTTCTGTTTAATATCTTCATTAATGACCTGGACAGTGGGACAGAGGGCACCCTCAGCAAGTTTGCAGTTGATGCAAACTGCGAGGAGTAGCTGATAGCACCAGAGGGTCATGCTGTCATCCTGAGGAACCTGGACAGGCTGGAGAGATGGTCTGAGAAGGACCTTGTGCAGTTCAGCAAGGAGCAACGTCGAGTCCTGCCCCTGAGGAGGAACAACCCCAGGTGCCAGGACATGCCAGGGTTGTCCTGGTAGACACCAAGCTGACAATGAGATGAGAATGTGCCCTTGCATCAAGGCAGCCAACAGTGGCCTGGGATGCATTAGGAGGAGCATCACCACAGGTTGAGGGAAAGGATGCCTCCCCTCTCTCTGCTCAGCACTACTGTGGCCACACCTGCAGTGCCATGGCCAGCATTTTGACTCCTAGTCCAGGCTGGCACACATGGCCAAATGAGGAGACAAACACTAGTCCCCCTCAAACAACCTGCCTGTCACTCTCGGGATCTGTAGACCATGCTTGGGGTCTCCATACCACTGCCCAAGGAACAAGTACACCCCATATGAGCCACTTTGTCCTTGTCACTTCTCATTCAAACCAGACCTTATGCCAACGGATTTTAACCTGGCTGATGGTGCAGTTGACTTCACGGCTGATAGCAAGCTTCTAGCAGGACTCCAGCCATCCAAGAACCTGAACCAGGCTCTGTCTGCAGTGGGGGAAGGAGTGAGCCATGACCAGAAAGCAGCTCATGGCAAGGGTGAGTGCTGGAGCTCAAGGTAAACTAGACCCAAGGATGGGGCTGGTGTGGGAGAACACATGGATGGAGGCAGGTACTAGGATGCTCTTGAAAAGGTGAAGAGTTGCATCCAGGATGTAGGAGTGCTGCAGGTTATGTGTCCCCAGGGGAGCATGGAGAGAAGTAGACGATGGTGCTGTATCTCTCCTTCTGACATATATTTACTTGGCTCCTGCCTGGCCACGCTGGACACATAGCCCCTGCATGCTCATGGCATTTCATCTTTTTTTTTATTTTTTCAGAAAATAAAAGCACTCTCCAGGAGGATGTCCCCGACCGCTTGGTGAGTGGGAGTGCCTCTCTGGCCTAGAGGAGGGTGGCCCAGGGAGATGCTGCTGTGCAAGGAGGGTCTCTATGAGGTCCCAGCAAACCCCATCCCTGATGGCCAGTAAATGAGGACTGAAGAAGTCCTGCTTGGGTGCCAAAACTACTTCCCTCGCTGGTCCAGCAGTGAGGGGAAAGGGTCTGGGGGCTAGTTTTGCCGGACAGGCACTGCACACACATGATGGGTCTGCTGTGCCATGGCAGGTGGAAGACCTTGATGCAGTCCTCTGGAAGATGGTGGCAGTGGGTGAGCTCCAGAGCCAGGGATTTACCCAGACAGACCAGGCCCCTCAGCAACCCAGCAAGAGAGGTGAGCACCCAGCTCCCAACAGCTCCTGCGACCCAACCAGGTCTATGCAGAGGCCATGGCAATCAGGGGCTGGGCTTGGGGTCGAGGATGCTCATGACTTGGGGTGGAGGGTGTTTGTGGTTAGGATGGAGGATGCTCATGACATAGGATGAAGGTTTGGGGTAGAGGGTGCCCATGATGTGTACTAAGGCATTTAGCTCCCAGTTTGTGCTCCTAGAACTGACTTCAAAGCTGAAGGATAGCCTGGAAGAAGAGATGGACATCTCCCTTCCTTTAAACTTTTCAGCAGTAGTCAAGCACTGCTGCAGCCCCTCTCACCGGTGTCTTTTCCTTTTTCTTTCAGCTTGCTTCTGGAAATACTGTGTCTCCAAATGAAAGGTACAGAAGGAGCTCTGCCTGACGCCTGCCTGCCAGCCTGCTCCCTGCCACCACTGTCCCAGTGTGTTCCTGCAAACCCATCCATGCGTGATCCCACACCTCACTGTGGGCCGGTTTGCACAGACCTTCAGAAGGTCTCCAGTTCCTTGTGGGGAAAAGGGGAGAGGGTCTGTAACAGAGGAGAGGTGTTGTGGGGTAGGGGAAAAGTCCTGTGAGTCTCCAGGGTGCAAGGCAGTGTTTTTCCCATACCAGTGGACCTCCAGGACCCACGGCAAGGGAGAACTGCCACCATGGCCTGTCAGGGGCTTGCTGGCTGCAAGCAGGAGCTGAATAAACCACTCACACCCGAGCAGCTTCTTGTGGTTACTCCATCCCCACACTGTGCAGGGTCCTGCACCCTCCCTGCATGGTGTGGGCAGGTCACAGAGCATGTGCTATGGGGAGGGGACATCATTCCTGCAGAAAGGGCAAGGGTTGCCACGTGCATCCCAGTGATCCAGGGTGGCAGAGACTGGGGGCTACACTTCACTCACATCTCAGAAGGGTTTCCACCACAGGGAAGCCTCCTCCAGCCCCTGCAGCACCCTCCATGCCCAGTGGCCTTGGCCCATGCACTGACAGTACACAAACAAGGCATATTAAAATATAGTTTATTGCTGTTCTTAGTTTAAAAAACCCAAACAAACCAAAACCCATTAATAAAAAACCCAGTCCCCAAACCCAGTGCTATCAGAGGCAGGCTTGTGAGAACACACCTTTTAGTGCAAAGAGGGAAGTGGCAGTGAGGGCTGGAGAGGGGTCTGCTGGCACCGTGTCCCTGCAGGACCCACCCACACTCACTGTACAGTATTTTTTTTGCCCATGGGGCTGGCTGGGGAAGGCTGGCTGAATTCAAAGCCACTGGCAGGAACTCTTGGGGGAGCTGAAGGTATCAGATGGGGGAGGATGGGATGTCGTGGCTGTGCAGAGCAGCTTTGACTCCTCTTGCATCAGCAACACTGGACAGGAAAGCACAACACTGAGCCAGGGAGCACCAAACCTACCCATGTATCTCTTACAGACACAGCACTATGCAAAGCAGTTTTTGCCTGCTCTCTCAGGCTGTCTGGTACTGGGGTGTGGAAACCAGACAGACTCCCTAACCCATGCTTCCATCTCCCAGTCAAGCATCTGGGCAGGGGGCGGTGGAGCTGGAGCAGCACATGGCTGCATCTCCTGCAGTGTTCTGCAAGGCAGGGAGAGGTTTCTTAGCTCGCAGGAGACAGGCTGGACCTTGCAGCCAGAAGAATGTGGCCCTGGGTGCTGGCACACATGGGAGGGATGCCCTCATCCTCGGCCCTCCATCCTCAGCCCTTCACGAGTTCCTGCACCCCTCCTTCCCTTCCACAGCAGGTCCTGGCACTTTCACACCAGGCATCATGCCCAGCATCTTCCTGCCCCCATGTCCTAATGGGGAGTTAGACACACGTTACAACTCTCTAATAATGAGAACAATTTGTCACTGCAATGAACTACCAGGGGCAAAGACTTTTGGTGTCTTCAGATAGAGCCTGGATGCCTTGGTGGAAGAGAGGGCTTGCCCAAATGCAGACTGAAGGGTGCTCTGCAAAAGAGCAACTGGGCGAATTCAAACAGCTCCAGCCCAGGTGATCCACTGGGATCCCGGACACCTCTTCCTGAGCGTATGGGATGGCTGGGACCTCATGGGGCTGGCAGAGCAAAGCAGCTCCAGCAGTGGATGGGGAGGCAGGGCTAGCCCAGCTGTTTGGGGAGGTCTCACCTCTTTCACCAAAGTGATTCTGGGGAAGGCTAACACAGCTTTTCCCATGGTGCCGTGAGATCCTTTTTTGGGGAGCAGGGATGCAGTTGCCACTGCAGCAACACAGGGACTGGTCCATACACAGTGATGGTGCACAGGGGCTGCAGCCAGCCAGTGGAGGAGGAGGAGGGAGCTGCAGGAGGCTGTGAAGCAAGGTGCTATTTCTGAAAGGTGGGAAGTATCAATGCCGTAAACCCCCTCCAGTCCCTCCCTCAGCCAGGGTCTGGTTGTGTCAGGACTGTGGAGGTGGGGGACTCGGCCAGGGGCAGTGCTGCTGGCACACCCCGCAGTGGGGTTAGGTCATCTTCCTGGCGACGCTGGCGTAGGTGTGCTCTATCTCCTCGTCTGCAGGACACGTGTGACTGAACTCATCACAAGCGTAGGCGTTGTTGAGGTAGCGCCAGACACCCATCATGTCCGCTGGGATTTCAAAGTCGCGGTACTTTTTGGCTGCAATCTAGAGAGGAGAGGAGGAGGAGGCTGAGACTTCCCAGACCTGAGGAAGATTCACTCTCTGGCTTGGGGAGGGGGACAAATATGGGACCCCTGGCCCCCTGTTTGCATCACCCCACCCTGTCACCCCCTCTTGGAATGGGTGCCCCCACCTTGGCCCTGGGAGCCAGTGTGTTTACCTTGATGATATGCAGTTTGGGCAGAAGGTTGCAATCAGCCAATGTCAGGTGGTCTCCATCCAGGAATTTCCTCTTGGAGACGGTGATGTCCTCCATGCTGTCCTGGTCAATCTCCTCGGGGAGAGGAGTGTTTAGGTAGACGTCCAACCGCTGGAACTCCCGCAGCAGGGCCTTCTCGAAATCTGGGTGGGCAGGGAAACAAGTGCAGTTAGCTTGGTGTCCTGGACTCCCAGCACAGCCCAGGGATGTGCCAAAGTGGCCAGACCTCTCCCAGGCTTTGCATACAGGGAGAAAGCCCTCAGGGCTACACCCGTGGTGCACAGCACTGGACCCTGGCCAGAGTCTTTGCCCCCAGGGGATCCCAGCAGCATCACCCCAGGCTCCCCTCCAGGACCTGCCCTCCCAAGTGCCTGCACACAGGGCTTAGCCCTGTTGAGCAAAGGCACTGCCTTGACCCTTTCTGCTCACTCCTCCACTTGCAAAGTAGGCTTTGAAGGGGAAGGCAGCACGACCCCTAACCTGGTGGCAGGATCTTCCCACAGACAAAAGCATCTCTGCCCCCACAGCATGGCCGCAGCATGGCAGACCATAGCCCTGCAGCCCCCACCCGCATTTCTTACTGATATTTGCTTCCTTGCGCGGGTTCTTGATGTATGCTGAGAACTTGGCAAAGATGTCGCTCCCCACGTCAAAGGACTCCTTGTACTTGGGGCTCAGGTGTGGATACCTTTAAAGAGACACTTGTGTCAGTGCAGGCAAGGATGGAGGCAGAGATTCAGCTGCATGATCCTCAGCCACGTTATCTCCTGGACTATGCTGTCCAGGTTTTGTACTGGAGGATGCAGCTGACATTCAGCTGTTTGTGGGAGAATAGCAATGCTTTAAATTACTGCAGCTGCCTCCTTGGGAGTTGTATTATCTTGGGTGTTTGCTAGGGGAAAATCACAGGGTAGAAGCTCTATGGTTTGGGGACACTGGTGGCAGCAGAGCCCCAGAGCAGAGCTCTGCCTCCAGGCAGCTCTGTCCCAGCTCGGAGGCTGCATGTTGGCACAGAAGGGGTCTGGGGAAGCCAGAAGCTCCCATGACTTCCTCAGGAACAGTGTCTTGTTTGCTGATGTATCCCAGGGCACTGCAAGGGCAGACACTCTGAAGAGGCGGATGACGAATGCATTTGAAACTTCCTCTTTTGCATGCGGCAGGAGGGCTTGCGGCCACGTGGGGTACAGGGTGAGCTGGCTTGGTGGGCTGTGGGCAGTGCCCTGCATGAGCTCAGGGGGGACTGCCCCCCCCGCCTCGGAAGCCTTTGGGCCAGCTGCACTGCTGCATTCAAACAGGGGCATTTGCTTTTGCTCAGCTGAGCACATCGGATACGAGCGGGCAAGGTGGGTCTCACGTTCCCCCTCTGCCTCAACACCAACTGCCACAGCCAGCTGCAAAACCACCAGCTCCTGGGGTGTCCCCGTGCCTTCAGGGACCTCCCCGCACTCTCCCTATCCTCCCCAGCCCTGCTTGCGCCAAGGGACCGGTGCATTTCCTCCCATTGTTTTCGATCCTAGCCCATCCCGATCCCCTCACAGCCCAACCCACCGCCTTCTCCCAGGGATGCAGCCCTCTGGCATCAAAATCCCTGGCCCTGCAGAACATGGCTCAGGGTGCTGAATGGGGTGCCAGCACCCTCCCTGAGCTGCTCTCAGGCACCTCCTAGCACCCTGCCTCAGTTTCCCAATCTGCTGAGCACTATGCAATGCTGTGGCATGCCAGACAGGCCCTGAAAGGAGGAAGGAGTGAGTTTGCAATTACGTGGGTGGGCCCAGGGTCTGCTCCAGGAACTCCTCGATCTTAATGAAGTCTGTTTTCAGCTCCCTGTTGAACAGCAAGAAGGGTGGATTGGTGCCCGGTGCCAAATCTTTCAACTCTTCAGGTTTCCTGGAGTGGAGAAAATAAGTGGGTTCAGAGCTTGCAGCCTGTCTGCACCCACCAGCTTCCCCAGGGTGAATGGACAAGGCTGAGATGGGTGTGTGGGAGGGAGCACAGGACTGGGACCATCTCCACTTGCATGCTTTGCTGGGTTGAGGGTCTGAGAAATGCCTCACAGCCTCTCAGTCTGCCCTATGGTGTCTCGGACTCACACCCACATCCAGCATGACAGGGCATCCCTGTGCCATGCATATGTTGGCACGTGGTTAGAGTTCTGTGCTGGCCCACGCCCTGCACCTCACGGCGTGATGAGCAGTGTGCGGGCAGGGGCCACCACCTCTGCCCCTCTCGCGGTGGCATGCTGGCTGCGGAGCAGGAAGGAGGGAGAGAGGAAAGTGCTGATGGGGGAGCTGGCACGTGGCTGAGCTGTGGTGCCATCTCACCTGGTCATATCCACCGTGGTGACATTGAACTTGACCCCTTTGAGCCACAGCACCATGAAGAGGCGCTGGCAGAAGGGGCAGTTTCCGATGTTTTCTCCATCCAGACCAGCCTGCCAGAAAAGCAGAGAAACAAGGATTTAACCCATCGGCTGGGCTCACCCAGATGATATGGGATAACTGGGGGTGGAGAGCCACCAGAGCCTGTCTCAGGAGGAAGGCACACGGTGGGCTTGGCCTGGCACCCCAGCACTGCATGCCGTAGGGAGCCCCTCCCAGCACCAGGGGCTCAGCTATAGGACCCCCTCCCTGAGCCATGGCCCTGCTGCCACGGGAGAGCATCAGAGAGCATCCTCAGGATGCCCCGGGGTCAGATCTTTCTCAGAAATGTGAGATAAAGCTGGGAGGAAGAGGAGAAGGAGGCAGGGGAAGGACGTGGAGGGTGGTTGCTGATGGATGGGGAGGAAGGGAGGGTCCACTTGGCTGGGAGGCCAGGCTGGGGAGGGCGGCAAGAAGGGAAATGTGCTCATGTTTTCCAGGAAAAGAGTGGTTTGTTTTTGTGTGCTGTTAGTGTCTGCCTCCAGTCTTGTGTTCATTTAACAAACCCAAGCGTGACTTCCCTGGGCTGATGATGGCCAAGAATCACCCAAGCAGCCTCCTTGGCCCTGGGGAAGAGAAGGGGCTGGGGGTGGTGGGGCTGTGCAGAGGTGGATTCACGCTGGCATTCCACCCCACGTCAGTGGGGAATGGAGCCACATGTCAGCTCCTAAAGCTTCACTCATGTGCAGACAGTCTCTTTCAACCCATCTGCATGGACACAGTGACAGTATCTCAGCACTCAGGGGGCTGCTCCATGACCAGGATGGGGACATGAGAAATCAAGGAGCTTTGACAACCTGCCTGAGTCCCACCAGGGCTCCCTCATCAGGGTCTTACCCAGATAATGCCCATTCAGCAATCCCAAGGGAAAGCAGCAGCAGGTAGAGTGAAGCCCTTGCTATGCAGCAGCTGAAAATGTCCTTTGCAAAAAAGACGGAAACCCCTTATCAGGAGTTGGGTTGAGAGGAATAGGGCAGGTTCCCCTCAGTGCATGAAAACCAGCACAGATGCTGCTCAGAGAGGGAAGTTGCTCTGTGGTATGAGAGCTAAAATGGCTCACAGGAAACGACTTCTTCAAGAGAATTAACTGATTCCTCAGCTGCACGTGAACCATGGTCCTCTGGCGCACGTGGCAGTTCTGCCACTGCAGGGAGGAGCCGCACGGCTCACACCAGCTCCTTCATGGAGGGATCAGCTTGTGTCAGTGCGTGAGCCCCAGTGGGACAACTCATGCCTCATGGCTCTGCACTGAGCCTTGATATCAGCTGGTGAACTGTGATGAGATTTGAGAGGATCTGGTGATGCAGAAGTCAAGTAGCAGCAATAACATCCAAGCTGGGCAGCTGGAGGTAGCTCCAGAGCTCGCTCGCACAGTACTGGGGCCCCAAAGTCAGGATGGATGAGGATGCTTCATTAGCAGAAGGCGCAGAGACCTGTGCCTGGCTCGCCTGCACTGGAGGTAAGTGCTACAAGTCGCCTGTCTGTATCTACAGGTATCCAGAAACCTGTGGACTTTGGAGTGCTCAGCTTCTCCAGGAGAGATACACCAGTCTCAAACTCACCCTAAAGCAGATGGTAAAGTGATCAAAACAAAACCCTGACACTTTGAGTGGTCAGCTGGAGGTGATGATCTGCTTTTCCACTATGCCAAGACTTTTTAGACCTTCCACAGGAATGAAAACTACTTTTAACCATTATTTCCTATGCTCACCTGTCATGAAATGATGCTTCTGAAGAAAGGAAATGGGAACTGAGAAATGTATTGATTCTCTGGGATATACCCATAAATGAAGCTGAATTCACACATGAAGCTTTTGCTGACTGTTAATAAGAAATGCTCCTGGGGAGCTGACGCTCAGGAGCGTCCTGTGTCAGCTTATAACAAATAAAGCTTCTTTGGTAATGAATAAAATTGTGTATCAGATGTCCTGTGAGGGAACTGGAGGGGACAGTCAGAAAACAGCCATGAGGGTGACTTGCTGGCATGCAAGTGGGGTATCTCTGCTCTCCTTCCCTTCTCCATCATCACTGGTACCTACAAGGCAAAACTAATGCCACCCTTTGGAGAATCTCCAGCACCAACAGAAGGTGCTTTTGTGACTGCCCAGCATGAGGACCAATGCTTTCCTCCTTACTCTCCTGAGATGGTCCTTGCTGGTGGAAGAGGAGAGGGCAGCCAGCCGGCTGTGCTCCCCTTTGCTTTCCTCACTCCGCACAAGACTGGGAGTGAGGGGGCTTAATTGGAATTTATCTTGTTGGCCCCGCAGGAGCTGTTGTGCTGAGCCAAACCAGTGAGCGGCTCTGGTGGAGTTGCATGAGGGGCAACGGTGGTACTGGAGGGGACAGTTGAGTGGGTGGGTTGTCCCTCACTGGGGCTGCTCTGGGCTCAGCCTGTGCTTGCCTGCTTCAGGCTTCTCTGTACTTGTCTTGTAGCTCCTGCCTCTGAGCAGGCTGGTTTTCCCCCTTGTCTTTTAAAAATAGAGACATGGAGAATTTTGAACTAGAGTGAAAGGATAATCAGGATGGCCTTTGTAATAAAAAAAAATTAATCCAGACCCATGCTAGGATGCTCAGAGCCAAATCTTTATCTGAAGGAAGTGGAGGGCAACTCCACCAGTGTTTGGGCGCTGCCAAGGGGGACACCAGGTTCCGACATGGCCTTGCTGGCACCCACGTGGCCATGGGGAGAGCCCTCCAGGAGCCAGGGGATCTCAGGGGAAAGGGGCTACGGGGGAGTTGTAGTCACACACCCTTCCTTCCCAACAAAATCCAAGCAGCAAGCTCACTCTTCACTTCCTTCTCTGGAGAGAGCCTCTTTCCCTGTTGTCCCCAGGCTGCAGCAGGGACCAGGGCAGAGGTGAGGAGCCCAGAGTCCCCCAGATTGACTTGTCATTCTTTTCCCCTCCAGATGAAGGATAAACCCAGTGTGGGCTAGCCCAGCATCTCCAGGAAGGTACAGGCTTTTAGCCCCAACTCCTTGAGGCCTCACAAGGCTGCATGAGGCATTAAAAACTTCAGTTACTGAGCAGTTCCTGTGGTTTCCCCCTCGGTGAAACAGTAGTGGGAGGAGGGAGCAGCTCTGCGTGCTTGGGGCACTGCTAAGGGCTCAGCACCCACTAGGACCTGCCCATGGTTGCTACAGCCACCCTGAAAGCTGGGAAGCAGTCTGGGGTGCAGTTAAATGCCTTGTGGAGTTGAGGGGCAGAGCCTCCTCCCAGGCAGGGAGAGCCCCCCCGGTCAGTGGAACAATGCTCTTACCAGGACCACAACAGGGTAAGAAATTGCCAGCCCTCTGGGGACGGCCCACCCCAACCCAAAGGTGATGCGGGAGCTGCTTTGCCCCCTCTCTGTTCCTTGCCAAATTAACTGAAGCATTTACCGAAGTAAAAGCCAGGCAGGGGCAGGGTGCTGGTAGGCACTTGTGGGAGCACCAGCTCCCCCCGTGATTTACAGCTATCGTGGGTTACACCAGCAGCCACAGCAAACATACACCAGGGCAAACCCCAGCCCAGAAGAGGTGCGAGGTGCCGATGGCATGAGAGGGTGCCTGTCTGCAGCTAGGAGCTGCTGTGACTTCAGTAAAACTCTGTCCTGAATGGTAGAAGGATGCACAGCATCAATTTGTCTGTTAACAGACAAGCCAGCAGGGTTTTTTTGTGCTAAATTAAGGCGTAGGGGAAGTCCTGACGATTCTGCTGCTTTGTTTTCTGTTTCCCTTCCCTCTGAAAACCCCCTTGAACATGCTGCCACCATTGCAGTCACTTAATGTACCATTTTCCTCTTCTCCCCAACCATCCCAGGGAAAAAGCAGTGCAAAGAAGGGAATTCAAGACATGAATTACTTTCATCAAGAAAATACACTTGTCTGGATTCAGCTCAGCCAAGCTCGGTGACTACAAGCACCACTGTAGCCACAGTTTTGTCAAGGGGATGGGGAAGATGCCTCCCACAAAGGTTCAAATAATCCTTTCCAACACATGCTGGGTGCCTGTGCCAGGGAAGCTGGTGCCTCTGGCCAAGCACCACAGTCCTCCTGGGCAACCAAGCTGCCCTAGGAGGAGAGGGAGCGAAGCCCACAGGGCTGAGCAGCTGTGGGGAAATTGCCACTAAAAGTTCAGAGGCATCACTCCCCCGGCCACTGTCACTTGATAGCGTGTCCCAGAGCCCCACTGGCATTCTGCTGGCACACACAGTCACCAGCCACCAGCTTCAGCTCCTCTCTTTCTACACCCCACATGTCCGCTGCAGATAATTTGAACTCAAGTGTTAAAATGTTCCAGGGGAAGTGTTTGGAAAATTGCTTAACAGGGGGAAAAAAAAAAAAAATAACACTTCCAGTGAATAATCCCCCCGGGCTGCTCTGCGAAGCCGCCCTATCCCGCCCACATGTGGGAACCCACACTGGCTCCCCAAGCCGTCCGCTCTCATTTCGCAACCCTGGCTCGCAGGAGAAGCTGAAGTGGCTGCTCTCAGCCCTCCTGCTTGCTGTTCCCAGGCTGGGACTTGTCTTATCTGTGTTTCAAGAAGTACGTGTGTGCCCACTCCTTCCTTACACCAGCTGCCAGCAGCCCCATTCCCCGGGGTACACGACCACCACAAGACCAGGGCATCTTTGAGGATGTTGGGTGTGACACCCCACCAGTCCCTGTGCCACTGCGTGCCTGGTCCCCTCCTCTGGGCACCCGCTTAGCCAGCCTTTGTGGCCAGCGCTCCCAAGCTTGGTACCCATCTCCAGCCTTCCGAAACATGAAGACACCCACGAATTTCCACTGCCTACACCCAGCTGGACCCTGGTGAGGATGAGCCTGCGAGGGACTGCCAAAGAGCAGCCATCCCCCCTGAGACCCACCTTCACAAACAGCTCGATCTCCGGCTCCTTGGTGGCGTTGTGCTGCCGACTCTCCATCCCGGCAGCGTGGGGAGGGACTGCAGGCTGCTCACTGCTGTGGTGAGTTGATCCGTTCTTTGCAGCGCTCCACCAGGGCAGGCTTTCAGAGGTCTGGCGGTTCAAGCACCTCGGTTGTGCTCGCGCCCCGCGGAGGGCTGGGGCTTGCCCTTTCCTTCCTTTTGAAGCAGGGAGGAGCGATGGGGTGTGCGCTGGGGCCTGCAGGCGGGGAGGGGGAAGCTGTGGGGCCTCCCAGCTGTGACTCAGCATGGGTCTATCTGGACATGTTCACGGGTCCCCGTCCAGTCTATCGCGACCGCCCAGGCGCTGCTCCAGTGCCTCCGAGCAGCGGGCTGGCAGCCCCGGCAGCCCTGGCACTGCTGCCGTCACCTCCCAGCTGGGAGCGAGGAGTTTTGCAGAGGAAGCCTCTCGCTTGCTGCTCCTCGCGCTGCTCCGGTCTGGTCTTGCCCCTTCACCATCCTCTCACCCTCACGCCTGGACACCAGTGCCACTTCTTTATCTGTTTGGGGTGAACCGAGCTGACTTTCCCACTGCCTTCCCCTCTCCTGCTGCTGCACCATGATGGGTAGCTGCCAGGAAGAAGGGTTCAGCTCCTCTCCCTACAGTCTCCCCAGGTGGGCTCCTCCGGGCACCCCTCACTGCAAGGAGCAGGGGCTGAACAGGGCGAGGGTTCTGGGAAGTCGAGCAGAGCAGCCTGGCCACCGGCCACCAGCAATCTGCAGCGGGTCAAGCGCTGCCAGAGCACAGACCTTGGGCAGGAAGGATTGCAAAACAACCAAGGAGAGAAAGCAAAGTGGGTGGAGCATGTCAGGATGCAGTGGGGAACCCCAGAGTCCGCTGGCAGCAGCCCAGCCAGGCAGCAAGCGATAGGGTGATGGGAAGGGATGTCTCCAGGGCTGACCCCCGGGCCTCGTTCCTGGAATTTGGGCTGTTTCACCAGAAGGGTGACCATCTTGCTTTCCTCCCCAGGATGGGAGGGAAACATTTGCTGTCACTGGCTGCTGTCCCAGTGGAGACAGCTTTCCAGCACCCACAGGTTTAACTCCTCTCTTGGGCAAGTCCTGTCTTGTACCTCAGGACCCCGTAACTACTATCGAGCCCATTTGCACAAAATGGGCGTCCTGATTGCTTGGCTCAGACACCCCACCCCCCAACAGCTCAAATAAGCTCAGACTTTCCTAAAAATAATCAAATCCTGATAAGAAGGCATCCACCCTGAGGCAATTAGGCTGGGAAATGATTTTGCAGGCTCCTGGAAGAATCTCCCCAAGGAAAATGTTTCTCCTGGGTCCTGCTGCACAGCCAAGAGTGGTGCTTACACTGACAGCTGCATTGGAGAGGCAGGGGGACATTTTTCTTTCTGTCCCATCAAAGCTTTTGGAGAACTTGAAACTCCACCCGATATGGCAGGAGATTCTGCCTGAAGTTCTCATAAGCAAGAGGGATGAATTAATAATGGCTCTGTGAGTGCCAAGCGGGGCTGTGACAGCACCCTCAGCACACGCTCAGTGCCATTCTTGCTCCCCCCACCCAGCCCCCACTGCAGACTCCCAGATAATGTGTGCTGGCCCCTGCTGCCACCCCGGCCCCCCTCTTGCTGCCCCTACCCGAGTGATGCTGAGCCTGTAAGGGGATGTGCCGGCTCCTGGCACTGCCGGCTGCTGCCTTCTCTGCTGACCTCAGCCCGGGGGCAGGGTGAGCAGCTCCTGCCCGTTGTGTTTCCCTCAGAGCCGCCAGCTGAAGCAGCGGGCAGGGATTTAACTCCTGCAGGGCAGGGGCACACGGATGGCACCGTCCCCTCCTCACAAGGCGTTGGAGTGCCCAATATCTGTCCCTGCGGGGGCTGCGGAGCAGAAGGGCAGCAGCAAAGAGGTCCCTGCCCATGGTGTTTGATGCAGGGAAGGCATTTGAGTTTTCTACAGGAACAGCTGCCTTGAGAGGCAGCACAGGCAGCCCTTCCCTTCCTCCTAAAACAGTGAATGGCCGGACATTTGACGAGATGGAGATTACAGCACACGTGCATCCGGATTTCTGCCTCACCATGCCCGTGAGAAAGCAAGGGGCATGTTGGAAACCTCGCCAAGTCCTATCCCTCTGCTGTGGGGGAACAGAGGCAGGAGGGAAGGGGCTGCCAGTTTCTCTGCCAGCAATGGTGATGTCAAGGCACAGGACCCACTCACCCACCACGGAGTGCCTTTGGAAATATGTCCCTCCCTCCCATGGGAGGTGTCCCTGCACTGAGAGTGTCCCAGCTGCCCAGAGCAGCCCCTTGCCCTGGGCAGCAGACAAAGAGCGGGCACACAGGCGCCCGCCCAGCCCCGGCGCCTTGGCAGGGCAGAGAAGTGAACCATTGTCCCTGAGCACTGCCCGCCCCGGCACCAGCCGCCGCTGAGGACACACGGGCAGAAGCTGCCTGGTGGGACGCAGCAGAGCCGGCAGCAGTTGCGCCATGGCCGGGCTGGTGGGGCTGGCAGCAGCCTTGGTCCTCTTCTACCTGGCCGTGGGGCTGGAGGCCAGTCCAGAGCTCTCCGGTGAGTCGGGGCGCAGGCAGGGTGATGAGGGATGCCAGAGACCGCGCTGTTGTGAGGGGAGGGTGAAGCAACAGCTGGGTTGGTGGGGTAGGGACAAATGAGGCACAAACCAGTGCAGGCCAGGGGGAGTTTCCAAAAAAACCTAGGGATGTTTTATCCCAGTGGCAGGGCTGATGTCTGAAAACACCCCATGCACATCCCACAGCCCTGGTGTGAGCAAGGGAGCAGCTCCCCCCTCTGCTGCTGCTCTCACTTGGACAGTTTGGAGGCAGAAATACAAAAAAACAAATATCTTAAGACAGTCTCCAAGCTTTCCTGAGACACCCCTGGCCATGATGCTCATGCCCTCGGTGCCTGGTGGTGTGTGGAGCTGAAGGTTCCTGGAGCACCCAGGGCTCCCCTGCAAGCTTTTGCTGCTCTGAGAAGGTGAGGGAAGAGATGAGCTGAAGCTCCATCCAGTTCCTGGCCAGAGCTGGTAGCTGCAGACTGCAGTCAGAACCACCCATGAGTAGGGGGGCTGCAGGGCACACTGCCGCAAGACGCAGCAAGGGCCACATTCTCTCCCTGGGATCAGCACCAGTGAGCCTTATAGATGTAGCCAAGGCAGAAATTAGGGATCTCTTGTGCCCCAGCACTTGGGGCAATCAGGACAGGTGGAAGCCGGCTAGGGGCCTGAGGACTGCCATTCCTCTGCGAGCTTTTCTAGAAACAGCCACGCACACCTTTCACTCTGCTCTGCCTGGCCTGGGTGGCACAAGAACCCAGCATGATGCCATTGAGCATGGCAGGGCGGGCTGCAGCGGAGAGGATGTGATTTCATCTGGGCAGAGCTAACTGCACAACCGCACCATCAGGGACTGAGTCAGCGGCACCGGCAGACAACCGGAATCACTCGCAAAATCTGCCGGCAACTTCCTTGCTGCGGTTTCACCCCCCCCCAAAAAAACCAAACCCATCTTCACAATTGTTCACTGCCCCAAAATTGTATGATGGAGAAAATTCTGTCCCTGTAGCACTGTTTGAGCCTTGGTTTTAAAATACAGATCGCTGGTGCTGCCAGCTGGCATGGCAGCAGAAAAAGGTGCCTGTTGCAAGGCAGACTGGATTTGGGGGAATCCATTTCTTCCCCTATTCCTCCCCCATGTTCCCCACCATCCCCGGGATTTGGCTCAGTTCTCTGTGCCCAGGGCTGGTCCAACAGTGGGGAGTTTGGGCAGCCCCACCCCAGCCATCTCGGGGATGAACAGGCAGGTTTGGAGTCTGTGCCAAGGCAGAACTCAAGCCCCAGGCTGCTCTGGAGCCTGCACCAGAGCCTGGCTGCTGCCGCAGGCATGGAATTGCCGCAGGGGCTGCAGACGAAGGAGATGAGGGCCAGCAGCCCAGGCAGGGTCCTGTGCCCCCCACGTTCCCCTCCATGGGGAAACTGGAGGAAAGGGTGAGGGCAGTGCTTGTTCTGGCCCCCTCTTTTTGGGCACTGCACCCCCAGGGGCTGATCCACCTCTGTGCCCTTAAGAAGCATCTTTGCATCTCACTGGATCTTTGACCTGGCTGAAACAACTTGTCTGCTCCCATCCACCCTGCTCCATCTCTCCTCTCTCCTCCAGCACGCAGAGGAGTGAGAAAGGGCTGGCTTGTGCAGGGCTGGCGCCCTCTCATTTGCTCATCCCTCATCCCAAGTTTGCAAGGAGAAACTCCAGCAGCTGCTCTTGTCCAAAGGAAAGATTAACTCCGAGCAGGGGCAGCTCCCAGCCGCATCTGCTGATGTGCCCTGGGGAGGGATGCTGGCCATGGATACCAAAGGGTTAGTGACATCAGGGAAGATGAAAGGGGCCCTTTGTGCAGCTGAGCCTGGCACTGGTTTACAGAGGAATGGAGGGAGAAGTACAGGGCTGGAGCTGGCGTTCTTGTATTTGGTTTGGGGGTTTGACATGCTGGGGGACAGGGTGCATGGACCCCAGCTCGGGGCTGGGTCACGAGTCCCTCCAAGGACCCCACATCTGGGGATTGGGGATTGTGACCCACCCTGTGTCCACTTCCCAGCCTCAAAATTATGCACCTCCTTTGCTTTTGTTTTATTCAAAGGCCTGATGCACACTGCTCTGTCCAGGGCCCTACACATCATTTTTTGTCAGCTTTTCCTGCTTCCTCAGACTTCTCCAGTAACCAGGGCCTGCTCAGAGCACCCGTGGCAGCTTGCAGAGCTTTTATTAAAACAGCTTCCTTGCTCGCCCAGTACCCAGCACAGCTGATACCAGCCAGATCTGATGGCTACATGTTAAATCCTCTTAAAGGCTGGGCAGCACAGCCCCACCTTACTGTCCCTTGTAGGGAAAACAACAGGCTAAGTGATTTGGGACACAAACGAGGTAGGATTACAAGAGAGAAATACCCCACACTGAGAATTCAGGGAAAGGCCCTGAGAATTCATTGGAAAGGCCATGGGCTGGGAATGGCTCACACTGATGCACTGGGCTGGATATAAGATTTGCTGCAAGCCGCCTTCTCTGCCGCAGCCCTGCTCTAGTCCTGTTTGCCCCATAAGTGCCCCAGCCCAGGGTGTCCTCACTGCCACTGACTGTCAGGATCCCAAGCACTGCCGTCACCATGGTCCTGGTGTCTCCTCTGGCCAACGCCATCCATGCTTTCCCCTTCCAGGGTACCTGCGCAAGGTGCTGAGGAACCACACCGCCCACACCTGCGACGGGGAGCAGCTACTCATCGTCTGCCCTCACAAGACCACCATCAGCATCCTCGGCGCCTTCTATGGACGTCGTGTACCCAGCCCCAACCTCTGCCCCAGCCCTGGCAATGTCTCCCAGGAGAGCACCGAGTGCATGTCCACCACTGCCCATCTGGTAAGGCAAAGGGTCCCAAGCGATGGAGCTGTGCACCCCT